TCTCTCATCATTGATGTTTCCATCTCTCTCCTCCTCTCCCTTCCTCTCTGAAATCAATAAAAATATTTTTAAAACATAAAATAATTTGGCAATGTAATCAATGGGCCACAAAAACATTTGTTCCCATTTTACCCAATAGTTTCACTACTGGAAATCTATTTTAGGGAACTCACCACAAATTCAGTGGGGGGCGGGGGGGCCTCACTCACTCACAGGAGGGTGCACTTCAATACTATTTATAATTGTGAAAAACTGTAAACAACCTCATGTCTAAGGCTATGAAATTGTTCAAGTAAGCTGTGGCCCGTGCACATGATGGGATATGACACGGCCACTAAAAATGCACAGGAAATGATTTGGTAAAATCTTAAATTATAGGCTATGAATTAGTTATGCAGTCTTTTTTTTTTTTTTTCAGAAGAAAGGCCACATAGAATACAAAATGTGAAAATGAAATATACTAAAATGTTGACAGTGGCTGAGTTCAAATCACAGATATTTTTCTTTCTATTTTTCAAAATTTTCCAAAATTTACTGACATGGCCTTTATTAAAATAAATACTGTTCGAAAAGAAAAAAATGTGTATACTTTGAGACATAAATTCTACTTTAAAGAATGTTGTCTCCTAAGAGAAAAATCATGGACATAGCCCTAGCCAGTTTGGCTGAGTGGATAGAGCATCCGCCTGCAGACCGAAGAGTCCCAGGTTCAATTCCGGTCAAGGGCACATGCCCCAGCTGTAGGCTTGACCCCCAGTGGGAGGCATGCAGGAGGCAGCCAATCAATGATTCTCTCTCATCATTGATGTTTCTATCTCCCTCTCCCTTCCTCTCTGAAATCAATAAAAATATATTTTTTAAAAATCGTAGAAGTGAAATTAATTTCAGGGACAGAAATTTACAATCTATTGATAAATATGGGAAAAGTCATTTATAAATCAGTGTACTGTAGGCTTCTAATTTTATATTTGAAAGGCTTATATCTGCACATATTTAATTCTCCAAAAATTTATACAATAAAGGAAGAATAAAGGGGAGGAGGGTGTTTTAGAAGGATATTATGGTTTTCAGACCCCTCAAGATCCTGGCTACCCTAGGGTGTAGAGGGGTGTATTAAGGTTCTCCAGAGAAACAGAACCAGTATATATATGGATCTTGATATGACATATATATACATATATAGCTATGTACCTATATGTATATATGTGTGTGTATATATATATATAGTGGGGCAAACATGGGTTTACAGTTGTTCATATGGAATACAATCATTAATAAATAATAATACAAGAATAAACTTTTGCATAGTCACAACTGTAAAGTTACTTTTGCCCCGCCCCGTACATATATAGGTTATGCATTTATGATAGGAGTTGGCTCACATGTTGTGGAGGCTGAGGCCCACAGTCTCCCACCTGCACCGGAGAACCAGGACAGCAGGTGGTGCATTCAGGCCGTTAGAAACCTGAGAACCAGGAGCGGCCAACGTCTCTGGGCAGGAGAGGGATGTCTGGGCTCAGGCAAGGCCATTCGCCCTCCTGCCTTTCTCTATCCAGGCCCTCAACAGCCTGGCTGCTGCCCACCCACACTGGTGGGAGCAAGCTTCACTCAGACTAACAATTCAAATGCTAATCCCTTCCGGACACAGCCTCACAGACACACTCTGAAATGAGGTTTTCCCAGCTGTCTGGGCCTCCCTCGGCCCCAGGCGGGTTGACATGTAAATTACCCATCACCGTGGGGCGCGGGCGGGGAGATTGCTCTCCCGGCTCAGAAGCCTCAGTCTCAAGGACCCGTCCCCGCCGTGCACACCGAGGCGTGCCCCCGGGTGGGGGGTGCCCTCTCCTGTGCACACAGTGGGGAGTGAGGTGGCTGCCCGCCAAGCGGGGAGTTAGGGAGCACGG